GGAGGTTTCGGGGGTTTTGTTAAGCTTCTGTATTTGTAACTATGTTTCTTAAACTGCAGGCTCAGAGGCCGGCAAGGCAGGCGGGGAACGTTGCAGTCCTCTGTCACTGAAGCAAGCCAGCCTCATGTTCAGTTTAAGCTGCCTAGCTGCCGGCCACCATCTTGGCTGGCAGTTAATTTGCATATTGCCCCTGATTAGCCAATAGGAAGGGTAGCGGTCGTATGCCAATTACCATGTTTCTCTTTTATTAGATAGGATGTTAGCTGTTATTTCTTTGACTATTGCAATGGTTCTCAACCTTCTGGCCCCTTAAATACAGTTCCTCATGTTGTGACCCAACCATAAAATTATTTTCATTGCTACTTCATAACTGTAATGTTGCTACTGTTATGAATCACAGTGTAAATATCTGATATGCAGGATGGTCTTAGGCAACCCCTGTGAAAGGGTCATTTGACTGCCAAAGGGGTCGTGACCCACAGGTTGAGAACCATTGGACTATTGTGTTTATTCTTTCCTTCTGGTATTTTGATTGGGTGAATATTGAACCTTCTCATTCTGTTTTTTTAATGGCATTTAACCCCTCTCTTTTATTTATTTCCTATGCTTTATCATAGATAATTTCCATTGATCTGCTTTTTTTCCACTTACTAATTATCTCTTCCATTGTGTCTGTTGTGTTCTTAAACTTGTCTATTTATGTGTTTTTTAATTGTTTCAGTTATTTTAGTTTAATTTTCTGAAGTTCTCTTTAAAATCTTTTGGTTCGTTTTCCTTTTTATGATGTATTCTATTATTTATTTTATGTCTCAGTATTTAAATATAACTATTTTTTTTACCCTTACCGGAGGACATATTCATTGATTTTTAGAGAGGGTTAGGGAGAGGGAGCTTGAGAGAGAGAAGTTGGGAGAGAGAGACATTAATGTGAGAGAGAAACATTGATGTTAGAGAGAAACATCAATTGCTTGCCATTCTGTACGCACTCCAACTGGGATCAAACCCTCAACCTATGTATGTGTCCCGACCAGAAATTGAACCCACAGCCATTCAGTCCATGGGACAACATAGGCCAGGGCAACACAAGTATTCTTAACTTTCTATTTGAAAACACTACAATCTGAAATCCTGGGGGATCTAATTTAGTTTGACTCTCACTAAGTTTGGGCTAATACTTAAAGTGTTTTTAAAATTTGAATTGTCAGCTGACTTTCAACACGCATTTATCTGAGGTTTAGTTCTAGCCTGGATTGAGGGTAAAGTGAAGTTTTGTGTTTATTTCTGTCAAGTGCTCTAGATTATATATATGACCATCCTAGAACCAGATTTTACTTTGATGTTTTATCTTGAGATTAAGAATTCCCAAGGAACACTTTTAATTGTTATTATTACCCTAAGCATAGCAGTGGTTGGTTGACAAGCTGATTTTGTCTAGTCTGACCTTATCACTTATAGTCCTCAGTGGGGGGGCCTTAGTTCTAATTCTTGTGTTGTAGGCATCTCTATGGTCTCATCTTTTGTTTCTGAGTTAAAACACAAGACCCTAGACTACTGATGTTGCAGAATTTAGCAGGCGACTGGGAAATACACGAGTGCTCAGAGATTCAGGAAAAGCCCTTTATTTAAAGCAGCGCTGCTGGCTCAGGGAATTCGAAGATCCAAAGCCTAAACAATTTATACAATGAGATTATTCCTTATATATATTTCTAAATTCTTTGTTTCCTTACTTCCTGGCTTTTGCAGCCCTACCTATGTTAGAATGGGGAAGTAAGATTAAGGCCTGGCCTGGGTGGTGCCAGTGACCTCCCCTCTGGCTAAGCTGTTAAATTCTTGGTTGTAGCCCTTGTAAACTGGGAGTATTTAGGAAAACAGATTATGGCCTAAGGAAGGTGCAGTGACTTAATTATAGGCTAAGAAGAATGTGCACTAGACATTGGTCAATGGCACAGATTCAGATTGCTACCCCCTCCCCCCCAATCCCCCACAGGTTGCCCCCTATATTCCTCCTCACTGGGACAGGCAAACCCCAATCATATCTAGCATAACATTAGTTCATAGTCTTATGGCTCTAATTTGGCTCCAGGGGGCTTCCCTTACAAATTCTTACAAGTTTAGCCACACATTTAAAAGGATGCTTCTTTATATTAGAAGACTTTCAGATTATCTAGTCTCCATAATGCCATAAATTATATATTCTGTTTAGTTCTTTATTGACTGAATTCAATGAAGGCAAGACTGATGTCCACCAAGTTCACTATAGGTTCTTCAACATCTACTTCCTGATATATATTAGCCACTTAATAAATGTGGAATGAATGAAATGCTGTTCAGTATAGATTTATTTATAATAGTGAAAAACTGAAATGAATCTAAATGCCTAATAGTAGGAAAATACTGAAGTAAATGTTTATATTTACTTAAAAGTAAATGGCTATTGCTCATATAATATTTTTTAGGCAGAAAATGATGATTTTTAGGACTGTGTTATAGATTGAAAGTTATTAAAGATTACATGTAAGTGAAAAAATCAGATTAAATTTTTCGAATTTATAGTATGGTAACTTTAAAATATTATATCACTGGATATGAAAAATATGGGAAAACACTGAATGATGAACACCAAAATGCTAATAGCAGCTTATGTTGGAGTGGTGGATTGAGGGTCCCTTTTTACCCTTTCTTCTTTAAACTTCCTATAATGTGGCTTTAGGAAGATACTAAAAAGAAAAAGTTTATTCGTGTTCTTAAAAATTTTTAGATTTAAATACACTAAGAGGTTGATTAAAATGTAAAAATTTCAGAATTAGTTTTTATTATTAAAATGTTTACAGAGTTTTATATGAAAATACAGAAAAAGACCTTTCTGATACTCAGCGACACCTTGCCAAGAAAAAATATGAGCTTCAGCTTACTCAGGAGAAAATTGTGTGCTTAGATGAAAAAATTGGTGAGTTTTTTCCCCTAATATTACATTTTCATTAGGTCTTGTAGAAAAAAGTTTTCTTCTCTCAGTTATAATATAGATAAACTTGGAAATCGGCCCCTAAATTAAAAATATATGAATAAATTATGAAAAAATATGTTTTTCATTGATAGTAAACTTTTTACTTATATTTAGGACCATAAAGACTTAGACATGACTTCAAATTTTTCAGTGAAGAAAAAGCTAAACAAAGCAGCAATACTTCATAATTTATTATGGTCACTTTTAAAATGACAAGTTTTTATGTGATATTAAACTACCGTAATGAAACATAGTTCACATATATATTACTTTTGTTAGAAAGTGTTCATGTATTTGGCTATATCTATGATATTTCTTGGATTTATAGAGAAAATTATTTTTATAAATTCTTCTATTTATGTTATATGCCAGTGATCTCTGTGAAAATATGGTCATAATTTACTCATTTTTAAAACTGTAAAGTAAAATTTTGATTAGGACTAGAGCAGAGCCCATTTTAAAACGGAATATTGTTAACATTAGCTGTAATGTAGTTCAAATCGGGCATAAACAATTAGGTGAGTGGAGGTGCTTTTTATTGAGATTGGAAATATTAAAAGATAAATATTAAAGGGAATACTAAAGAACTCATTTTGAATATTGTAAGTCCAAGTAAAAATGTAAGGTAAGCAGTTAAATAGATAAGTTTTTATCTCAGAAGTAAAAGCTAAGCTAAAGATTTACATTTGGGACACGTCAGCAAATAAATGATATTAAAACCAAGAATGAGGAGCAGAGGATCCAGGACTAAGAAGCCAAAGAATTAGGAAGAAAATCCATCAGTGAATGTTTTTTGTTTTGTTTAGTTTTTGAGGAGGCAAGCAAGCAAAATGTTTTAAGAAGGAGGGTAGTATCAACTATCAGATACTTTCGAGAAGCTAAGTAAGATGGGGATGAAGAAATGTTGATTGGATTTGGTACTTTGAAGGTGTTGGGAACACTGACGAAGTTTGGATAGAGTGTTTAATGTGGAAGATGGGATAGGCAGAGGAATAACTGTAAAAATATCTGAATATGCAATCATAAAGCATTTTTAATCAAGATAATTTTTTCCAGTTCAAGTGCATTGAAATACTTTTCAAAGTAATTTCTCCTATATTACATTTAATGCCTAAAAATAAGTAGAGTATCCCAAATAAAAACATGGCTTTTGTTGTGATTAAAACCGAAGATGAATCTTGAAATTCTAAATGACTCACAAATGTAAAAGCACAATTAACACATTTGAATAAGAATATCAAAGGAAAGCTCTAAATTACAAGTTCTCAAAGTAGATTTACATGCCTGGTGGGGTGGGAGGCAGACTGTAGGTGGGAGTAGAGACAGGAGAGAATAGAAGTCTGTTAAGAAGTTTGGCTACCAAGTGTAGCAGAAAAATAGGGTGGTAGCTTGAGTGGAATGTGAGGTGGAGGGTATTTTTAAAATCTAGGAACTCCTAGAACTTTGTGAGAGCTTTCGTTATTTTATGCCAATGGGAATGAACTCGTCTATCAGAACACCCAAAACGTGGTTTGCCTGAAAGATAGCAGCCTGGAAAAGGGAATTGATATATTCTCAGGTACCATAGATCATCGTCTTGGCATGGGATAGTGCCTCTCTTATGCTGCCCTGGATGGTCGTTGGCAGGGAGTAACCTAGAGGTCCTGTCTAGCAGAGCTTTCCTAGTAGAGCTCTAGACCAGAGGTTCTCAGAGTTGGGTGTGGTCGGAATCCCCTGGAGGCTAGTGCAGACCCCTGGGGCGGCTCCTGGAGTAGCAGATGGCCAGGGCTCTTGTGTCTTTTCCAGTTTGCTCAGGTGGGTCTCAAGCTGTTGTGCACTAGATTCACATGGGCGGGTGCTTGTTGAGACATAATTGCGCTGCCCAGTCAGAATTTCTAATTCAGTAGGACTGCGGTTCCCAGGTGATGCTGATGGTGCTGGTGGGAAACCACAGTTTGAGAACCAATTGCATAGCAGTCATTTAGGCCTTCAGCATTGACATTGGCTTGTCAGTGTTTCCACAATCAAATCAGATGTCCTGGGATGATTTTTTTCCCCCAGGAATTTTTAGGAAAAATTTAGAGAGATCAGAGTAGAAGACATTTGACTCTGAACATGACTTAATTGAATATTTTATTAAGATCTGTTACCAACTTATATACAACAATGATTCTAGTTCAGAGAGAGGAGAGAAATTGGGGGGCGGGGGGAATGCTGGTTTCAGTATTCCACCCAACTTCATCCACCTATAGTGTGCCCTCCACCCCACCAGGCATGTAAATCTACTTTGAGAACTTGTAATTTAGAGCTTTCCTTTGATATTCTTATTCAAATGTGTTAATTGTGCTTTTACATTTGTGAGTCATTTAGAATTTCAAGATTCATCTTCGGTTTTAATCACAACAAAAGCCATGTTTTTATTTGGGATACTCTACTTATTTTTAGGCATTAAATGTAATATAGGAAAAATTACTTTGAAAAGTATTTCAATGCACTTGAACTGGAAAAAATTATCTTGATTAAAAGTGCCTTTATGATTACATATTTAGATAATTTTACAAGGCAGAATATTGCCCAGCGAGAAGAAATCAGCATTCTTGGCGCAACCCTCAACGATGTAGCTAAAGAAAAGGAATGCCTGCAAGCATGCTTGGATAAAAAGTCTGAGAACATTGCATCCCTTGGAGAGAGTTTGGCCATGAAAGTATGTTCTGAGAACTGTGGTTTAAAAGAAGTGTTTGCACTGGAATCTGAATAAAATAATAGGATTCTCTCAAATTTTTTTCTAAAGAGCTGAAACTTTAAAATGTGATTTTGAAATATTTTAGAATAGTCTTCAAAATGTGTTCTTTCTCTCATCAATGTGTGGTTAACATGCGCTGACAAGAACTAATTCAAATATCAAATATTCAAATTAAAAAGAAAGCAGCGAGATTGATTTCTTTTTAAAAGCACACCAAAACTTATACCTCCAGGGAGCCACTGTGGGAGGCAATATGTTTATTCCATTAAAACTGCCTTTGTAATTGTGTTCAGAACTAGATGCAGGTTTTTACATTGTCCTTAGTCATTGAGACTAGACCATATGGCAGGGGTGAGGAACCTCCAGCCTGTTAGCGATACAAGACGTGCAACATCATTTGATCTGGCCCTGCTAACACAACTGCAGGCAGACTCAAAATTCAACAAACACAGGACCTTCTTTATAGCAACATAATAAAATCAGTGAATTATATTAAGCAAATGATATTATAAATACCCAAATGACCCTTGGCAGGAAAAGGGCAC